ATGTTGCCACAGAAAGAGCTGATCTTCAAAACAAGGAAGAGTCCCTCGTTCTAGTTATAACTCTCAGGATTTGGCTGGATATTCCACAAAGAAACTAGGGCAGAGCTTAGTCTTTTCGAACAATTACCACAGAAAGCTCTAGTGAAGTGTACTATTCTTCAGAATGCAAAACTAATCAAATATAAAAAATCTAATACAACTTTCAACTAGCCTTCTCAAGTCAGCGTTTCATATTTGTGAAACACTAGTTTATAATGACCTCGTGTGAATGGCCTGTCATGGAACAATAAGGAAAGATGGATTAAACAATTTAACTAGTAACAATAGTTTCTATTCCTGCTTCAAGGTCCAACTCAAATGTCACCACCTTAATGAATCTATCTTTGATCCCCATCAGAATTAATTCTTTCAATAATCCTTTAAATGCCAAAACCCTAGTAGATACCAAAGTAAAAAAGACCCACTTCCAACCCAAACCCATTGCCTTCGAGTCGATTCTGAAATGCTCTAATAGAGGTATTAGTAAAGGGCTGGGGAGCCTAACTTTTCCTGAGGCAACTGGAGAAGACTTTACAGAGAAGGTGCTGTTTCAGCCGCATCTTGGAGGATAAGCAGGGTTCACAAAACAGATGATGGAAGGTCATTCTAGGTAGGAAGACATTGAATGAGAGGGTACACAGAATGGTAAGATCTTAGTTGTAGAAAGACAACTAAGGAGAAACATTGGAGGTGGAGAGACAAGTTAGAAGATTGGCAACAATTCAAGCAAAAGATGACACGATTACAGAGCATGAAGTGGGAGAGGGGAGGATTTGAGCAAAATTCTGGAGATAAATTTAGCAAAACTTGATGATTGATTGTCTGGGAGTGGGGGGAGAAAGAACATGGAGGTGTTGGGGATGACTCCCAAAGCCTTGGCAAATGAGGAGGTAATGAGGCTGTTAACTGAAATAAGGAATATAGTATCAAAGAGCATGCCTAAGAGGGAGTCAAGTTACATTTGAGACATTCTGCCTTTGCCATGAGGTCTCTTCCATTCCTTTGTAGGTCAGAAATCACCCCTTCCTCTGAACTCCCATAGCACATTGCCTATACTTTTTTTTTTTTTTTACCTACATCTGAATTGGCCCTCAAATTCAAGGCCACCCCAAACACAACAGGATCAGACCATTGTGATCCATAGGGTTTTCACTGGCTGACTTTTGGAAGTAGACTGCCAGGAATTTCTTCCTAGTCCATCTTAGTCTGGAAGCTCCACTGAAACCTGTTGAGCATCATAGAAACATACAAGGCTCCCATGGACAGATAGACAGGTGATGGCTGTGCATGAGGTGCATTAGCCAGGAAATGAACACGGGTGTAAAAAAATGATGGGGCAGCAGCGGCAGACCTCTGCATCTAACTTCACAAGGAGGAGAGAGAATCATCATCAGCATCAGCCCAAAGCTGATTCCTATGAGGTGGAGGTCAGACATACCTCCACCCTCCAACCTTTTTACCAATTCTGATACCAGCTGTCCCTCCACGGCACTCTCTACTTCTCTGGTGGGTTTGATAAATCGTTGCAATGGCCATACACAACACAGACTATACTTACGGTTATGGGATTTATTAGGAAAGTAGCTGAAACAGGTTCAACCTGGATCAGGATCAACAGGCTACAACTCGGGATGAGGAAGCATGTAGGCAAAGTCTGGAAGGCTCCCCTGAAGTCGAGAGCACATCCTTCCCTTCTTCAGTGTAGGACAGCTCTCTCAGCTCCTCTCAGCTGTGCAAGCAAGCAGGTCCTTCTCTCTGCTGTGTATGCCCCCTCAGGACAGGCCTCCTCTCAGCCCTGAGGACAGGCTCCTCTCAGCCCTGGCCTCTGCCCTACTCTGGCAAGTGTTACAGTCTTTTCGCTCCGCCAACAAGTACCTGGAGGCACCCTGCTCCACCAACAAGCCTCCTGGCTGGAGGTGCTCAGCTCTCTCCCGCTGTGGGTCAGCACATCCACTGTAGCCGCCTCCCTCCATGGGCTGGGAATCCCACCGTGCCATCTCATGCTGGTCACCTGGTTCTGCTGCTGCCATCCCTCTGCTACCACTTCTCAGCCGTCTCTGGTTTACAGTTCTGTCTCCTGGGTCTAAGGAGTTCTCAGTGCAGGGTTCCTGGGTCCAAAGGGTGCACTCCGCTCCCAGCTCTTTTTTTCCCCCATGATTATGGGGTTTATTAGGGAAGTAACAGGTTATAATTCAGGTTCAGGAATGCTCAGGATATAGTTCTTAGATCAGGATAGCCTCTTCTCAGCCGTGCTCACAGGCACCCCTCCCTTTGGCACCTCAGCCTCTGCCCTGCTCGGGTCCCAGTTCTTCTCAGTGGTAGTGAGGTCCTCTTTGTACCTCTAGGATTGGCTCCCTTTAAGCCTAGCAGGATGGGAAAACTTAACAAATCTCGTCAGGGTTCCACACACCTTATTTGCATGGTCCCACCCCTGCAAGGGTTCCATGTGCCTTATTTGCATTATTAGCAGGCTGTCCGATCTCCTTGATGGGCCACAAACACCTTATTTGCATAACCCCACTCAATCATTTTGTGGAAGTCACAAGATTATGCATGGCTAAACCAAAACCCATTGCTATTGATTCAACTCCTACTCAGAGCGACCCTATAGGACACAGTAGAACTGCCACATGGTTTCCAAGGAGCAGCTGGTAGATTCAAACTGCTGGCCTTTTGGTTTGCAGCCCAGCTCTTAACCACCATGCCACCAGGGCTCCATGCATGGCTAGAAGTACCATATTAAGTAATTCACTGCACCACACTGTTTCTCTCACATGGAAGGCAAGAATTCTACCACTGAACTACCACTGCCTTCTTCGTTTATACTTTTTCATGTCAAATTATGTAAATCTGCAGTATTGTTTGGTATTTACAAGTTTATCTCTATCTTAAATCATGGAGGACAGGTACTAGGTTTTATTCATTTTTGTATTTCCCTAATATATAAAAAGTCCTCAATTAAAGCTTGCATACTTGAAAAACCAGCTCCATCAGATACTAGAAACTGTCAGTTAATAATTATCAAAACTTGAGAATTACTGGCCTATATAAAATATCTTAAAAAATTGGTCCTACTGCACCTACTTTTAACTATTAGCTCTTTGTGCTTGTCTTTTCTTACTTTTAAACAGTCCTGCAGGTATCGTTGTATTCCTATTTTACAGATAAAGCAACTAAAGCCCAAAACCAAATCAAATCCGTTGCAGTCAATTCTGACTTATAGCGACACTGTAGGACAGAGTAGAACTGCCCCATGGGATTTTCAAGGCTGTAATCTTTACAGAAGCAGACTGCCACATCTTTCCCCCACAGAGCAGCTGGTGGGTTAGAACTGCTGACCTTTCGGTTAGCAGCCAGTGCTTAACCACCGCACCACCAGGGCTCCTCTTTATAGAAGCCCAGAGTTACCAAATAGCTTCCCTGGGGTCACAAGGTTTACAAATGGCTAAACCAGGATTTGGACAGACTTGGTCTTTCACCAGGAGTCCCCGGGTGGTGCAAACAGTTAATGCACTTGGCAGCTAACGGAAAGGCTGAAGGTTCAAGTCCACCCAGAGACACAGACTTGATTACAACTGGAGTGTGCTGTGTTCTTTCACCATGCTGCCCATTAGAGAGCTAAGCTGATCTTACTGTTCTAACTCCCAAACTCATTGCTGTCGAGTCAATTCTGACTCGTAGCGACCCTATAAGATAGAGTAGAACTGCCCCATACGGTTTCCAAGGAGCAGCTGGTGGATTTCAACTGCTGATCTTTTGGTTAGCAGCCAAATGCTTAATCACTGTGCCACTCCCAGTAAGGCTTAAAAAAAGGCCCCTTCTTTGGCTCCTGAGAGTGCCATCCTCTAGATCAGCAGGAACAGCCTCTATCACCTCTGCAATGAGTAAAGTGCTGCCTGCCCAAGAACGTGGAGTCCCGGTTCACATCCTTGGCTGCTAACCAAAATGTTGGAAGTTCAAATCCACCCAGAGGCACCCTGGAAGAAAGGCCTGGTGATCTACTTTTGAAACACCAGCCATTGAAAACCCTGTGGAGTGAAGCTCTACTCTGATTCTGATACATGTGAGGTCTCCATGAGTCGAATCAACTGGCCCAAGAAGGTGCCCATAACGGACACCCCCGCTGCTGCCCGGGGGAAGGGGCACCCGGAAGTGGCTGAGGGTGCCGAGGTGGCCGAGTAGGCCGACATGTCGGTGTTGACTCCAGAAGGCAGGCTGACTCTCTGTTGCCCCCACTGCTAACCTCGCCCGGAGACCAGAGACTTTCTTCCAGGTAGGCGGCAGGCAGGACCAGCTCCGGGGCGATAATTCTCAGACACGACGGGCTCTGGAGACCGGCCGCCTCCTGCCTCCGGTCCCAGGACCTTGGCGTGGGGGGCCTTGCGAGCTTGCTACTCCTCTGCTGGGGAGTCCTAGGTCGGGCGAGAACGGGCGACAGGAGCCGAGCTGCGACGGCAGCGTTCCCCTCAAACACTCCCAGTCTCCTGGAGGCCCGCCCGGCCCCCGCCACCTCTCCCGGCGCCCGGCCCGCCTGGCATTTCCAGGCGGCTGACGGGAGGGGGCTGAGGCGAAGGTGAGCGACTGGGAGGCCTAAGGCAGCTACGTCCCCGGGGCCTGAGACGGCCCGTGGGTTGGGGTGAGGACGCTGCCTCCATAAAACTATCGACCAAAGCCCTGAAGCCGTGGCGGACAGTCCGCGGAAGGGGCGGTCTTGTCTGTGGAGGGGGGCGTGTCCAGGCGCGTGCGGCAGAGGCGCGAGGGCAGGGGGCGGTCCCGTCCGCGAGACTCTGGAGCGCTGACTGGCTGCGCGCCAGGAGGCACGAGGACGGGGCGTGTCCGCACATCAGTCCCTGCGCCGCCACCTCCCCCACCCTCCGTCGATGGCGCGTGCGCAGCCTGGCGGTATGCTTCCCCCGAGGGCAAAGGGCTGGCCGTTCTGGTCTGGACGTCGGTCTTGTGGACTCCGGGCAGCATGTCGGGGCCTGAGTGGGGGTCGCTGGAGCAGTGCTTGGAGCAGCACCTGCCGCCCGCAGACCTGCGGGAGGTGAAACGCATACTCTATGGCAAGGAGACCAGGTCTGGGGTCCAGAGGCTGAGTTGGGGGGTCCTGGGCCCACCAGTGTGGATCTGGGGGAGCAAGGGGAGGGCTTCAAGGTCTGGGGGATTCTGAGGCAGGGCGATAAGCTCCTGAGCTGGGGGACCGAGACCTTACAGACTGGACGAGCTCCAGGGCGCTCAGGGGCTGCAGGACCAGTATGACCTTTACAAGCTACTTCCCCCTCACCGTTCCCCGGAACCGGCAAGGACAGGACAGAGTTTACTCACCTGGGCGTTCTTCTTGGCCTCCCAGCCCTCCTCCCAGTGGAATGACCAGCGTCCTCCCTAGAGCCAGTGCTTGGAGGACCCGGGCAAGGCCCAGGCTCAGTGGGGTCAGTACCTCCAGCCAGATCCCCCACAGGTATGCGGAGTGTCCATACCCAGCACCCCTTCCAGCAGTGGCCCGACCTCTGGCGGACCCTTGGGGGTAGAGGCCGGCTAAACCTGGTTGGAGAAGGAAAAAGATTTCCTTCCTACTGGCCGGCTCCGTTCATGAATTAACCAGCTTTGAGTGCAAACGTCTTTCTACTCCAGCGAATCTCACTACGGTGTTTCCTTGTTGGTTGCGGTGGAGTTAACCCTGATTCATGGCGACCACGTGTGTGCAGAGTAGAAGAGCTCCATAGGGTTTTCAAGTCTGTGACCTTTCAGAAGCAGATTGCCAGGCCTATCTTCTGAGCGCCTCTCGGTGGGTTTCAACTGTCAGCCTTTAAGCTAGTAGTTGAGCACTTAGCCGTTTGTGCCAATACAAAGCTGGAAAAGACTCTCCCCCTCCACTCTTGTTTTTCTTCAAGCCATTCTCCATGCAGCAAGCAGAAGGGTCGGTGAACCTATAAATCATATCATGTGGCTCCTTTGCTTAATTAAAACCCTACCATGGCTCCTAGAATGAAATCCTAACACTTGGCCCCACCTGCAGGGCCATGCAGTTGGCTCCTGAGTTATCTCTTACCACTTCCAGGAGTGATGGCTGGCCCCTGCCTCCCACGATCCAGCCAGAGTGTGCCCCCCATGATCTTGAGGCAGTGACCTTGAGGCTTAAGCGGGTGTTGATTGGGGTTACTGCAGGGAGGCCAGACCTCAGACCCACAGGTGTTTTCACAGCTAGTGAGTGGTAGAGGTGGAAGAACTGTCTTTGGAATGATGGTCGAAAGGGCTCTTCACACCCAAAGAGGGTACCAGAGCTGGATGACCTTCAAGACCCCTCCCAAAACTTCCTGTTGGACTTCTTTTAGAGTTGGGGCACCCAAAGAAGGTGTCTTAAAACAAGAAGTGTCTCAGCTTGCAGGGATGGGAATGGGCTTGTTTTAAGGGTAAGAGGGGCATGTTTTCCTGGGTAAGAGAAGTATTTGGGAGAGCTGTTGGGGGTCAGGGAGAGGTAAAAGAGAAATCAGTTTCCCACCCAGGAGACCAGCCAGGCACATTCTGGAGTAGGGCCAAGATCAGGCCAAGGACTGTCTTGCTAAAGGGATTTTGTCTGAGCAGCTAGATTGCTCCAGGGGAGTAGGTATCATCATGGGTAGTGTGTTGGCTGGCAGCTCAGTGACCAGTGACAGGCTAGGCCTACAAATAACCCAGTGAGTGGCTCCCTTTCCTGTCTTTTTCCTACTCTCCTCTCTTGGCTCTGCTCCACTCAGCACTTATCCCTTCCAGGTTTTACCTTTAGGATATAAAGCTTTGAACTTGCACAGTCCTTGTAATTAGGTGAGATTTGTCTATGAACTGGGTTGTGAACTAAAGATAGAAAGTTATTAAAAAAAAAACAGTTGCTGTGGACTCATGGCAACCCTGTGTTTGTCAGTGTAGCACTGTGCTCCGCAGGGTTTTCAGTGGCTGATTTTTCAGAAGTAGATCCCCAGGCCTTTCTTCCACGTGCCTCTGGGTGGACTCGAACCTCCAACCTTCAGTTAGTAGCCTAGCACTTAACCATTTGTGCCACCTAGGAAATAGAAGGTTATTAATCTTTTAAAAATTCCTTCTGCCACTGAGTAGTTCAAGTGGTTAATGCACTCAGCTGCTAACTGAAAGGTTGGAGGTTCCAGTCCACCCAGAGGCACTTGGAAGAAAGGCTTGGGGATCTGTTTCTGTAAAATCAGCCAGTGAAAACCCTGTGGAGCACAGTTCTACCCTGACACACACGGGGTCGCCATGAGTTGGAGTTGACATGATGACAACTGGTAACTGGTCTCCCACTGAACTCCTGTGGATTCCTCAAAGCCAGACTTGGACATGTCACCTCTGGGAAATCGTAGTGGCTCTGGAGTCCAGCCCCTCTCTAGATTCCTGCTGTGCTCTGCAGCCTCTCCTGATTACTTGCTGTGCCGAACACAAAGGAGACACTAGCGAGCGTTTGCTGAGTGAATGAGTTAAATCGGCCTTTTCTTATCCTCAGAATATCATTCTCAGTTTTAAGACAGTCAGAACCAGGAAGCATTCATTCACTCAACAAACATGGCCTGAGCACTTTTGTCTTACTCATCTCTGTACCTCAAGCACTTGTCTTGGGCTTGAGGTACAGAGATGGGTAGGCATGATTCCCACTCTCAAGGGCCTTCTGTCTTCTGGAGGAGACTAGCTGGTGACTGTCCTAGGTGTGAGAGGAGGATGCAGGGAGGCCAGAGGGAGCTTACCCCTGTGGGTTGGGGGTAAGAGGGGTGGGCGAGGAAGGGCATAGGGGCTTGAGGGATCTTAACTCCTGTGGGGTGGCAGGCCAGGAAGGTCTCCCAGTGGCTTCAGTGCTTGAACTGCATCCTGAAGACAACAGAGGAGTTAGTTTGGGGGACAGGAAGGGCTTCAGTACTCCTGGTCAAGCCCCTGATACCAGGGGACCTGCCCATTCAGGACTGCGGGTGTGAGAGGTGGGTCATGGAGCACTGTCCCAAGAGAGGAGGCAGAGGGAGCCAGGCTGGATCCTGGGGCTCTGTGTCATGTTGGGGTCACGAAACTGTGCCCTAAACGTGAGGAGCCTTTGAAGATTTGCACTGCTGGGAATGGACTGGAAAAAAGCAAGTGAAAGATGGTGAGGCCTAAAGTAGACAGAGTCCTGCAGGTGGAGAGGAGCAAGGTTCTGGAGGCCCCAGGAGGTGGACGGACGGACAGTGTGGACCCACCTAGGGTGGCAGAGGAGGCCAAGATCATCCCGGCTTCTGCTCAGACATCGGGCTGGCGGGCTCATTTAAGGAGGGGCACTTTCAGGAAAAGATGACAAGTTCAGCTCTGTATGCATTGAGTTTGGGGTGCCTTTTGCATCCCCAAGTGGAGGGTCCAGTGGCCGTTGACTGTGTGGAGGTGGCCTTATGGAGAGGTCAGGCTTGGAAGTTGTTAGCCAGAGGTTTCATTCCAGGTGGCGGAGGGGGTAGAGAGTAGGAGAGGAAAGAAGTATCAAGTGGCGCAGAGATGTCTAGGACGAGGACAGCAGGGAGGCCACTGGCTTTAACAGCCAGAAGGCTGGTGACTGGGCCCAGAGCAGTTGACCAGTTTGGAAGTGGGAGCTAGTGCACATGGGACTGAGGGGAAGTTTGTCCAGAGAGCGAGTACCTGAGGTAACGACAGGGACGTGTGGAGAAGGGACTTTCTCTCCCCCCACCCGTCTTTCTCTCCCTCTCCCCTCTACCCCCCATTTCCCTCTTTTTCTCTTTCTCTTTCCCTACTTTCTTTCTCTCTCTGTCTTTCTGTCCCTTTTTCCTTCTTTCTCTCTCTGTCCTCCTTTCTCTTTCTTTTCCTTCTTTCTCTTTCTCCATCCCTCTCTCTCCTTTTTCCTGTCTGCTTCCTTCCTTTCTGTTTATTAGTGGAACAGACTCACACAGCCTTAAGAGTGGCTGTAGTAGGTCTGTGCACACTGACAGGGAGTGATGTCTGAGCTATATGTATGGGGAAGTGGCAAGGGCCCGTTGAAGAGAAGAATATACAGAACAGTGCCACTGTAGTCTAATATACACACATAGAAAAATACTGGGAAGACACACAACAAATCCTTAAGAGGGATTGGTCTCTGGGGTTCGTGACTGGGGCTTAGGGGTAGGGAAGGGAACTTTTTTTTTTTCGCTTTCTCCCCTTCTCCACTCTTTGATCCCCCCACCCCGACCATGAGCGTGTATCACTTTTCTAGCAAAGCTCTAGTTTTAATTATTTAAAACTCTGATGGTAAAGAGCTATTAAGGGGGGAGATGAGGCTTCAGAAGTGAAAGGTTGCTGAGGAGACAAGAGCTCAGCTCCTCTGGTGGGTGCGGTGGGTGCCAGAGAAGGACCGGAGGTGTGCAGAGCAGGGGAGGGTGGGGCTGGGCCAGGATGGGACAGGCCTCCCTCTGTGGTCAGAGTGAGCCCGTGAGGGATGAGGGGCTGAAAACTGATAAGGGACACAGGAAGGTTTGGTGCGCTTGTGGCTCATGTGCCGGTCCCTCTCCTGGGCTGTGGTGGGTTTGGTCCCCTTTGGTGGACACCCCACATATTTATCGAATGAGTCTGCACAGGGCATAGCTCAAGTTGGGTTCCCCAAAACTTAGTGGGCAGGATGCAGTGCTGGAACATCTGGATGATGGGACAGGCAGGCCTCGTTAGAAGGACCCAGATGGTAGATGGGTGCCGAGGAGAGGTACGTGTCCCAGGGATTCTGTGAGAGAAGGGCAACCCAAGTGAGCCAATCGGTGGGGAGCCAGGAGGCCTGGGTGGCGCAAATGGTGAATACTCACTTGGCTGCTAACTGAAAGGTTGGAGGTTCAAGTCTTCCCTGAGGTGCCTCAGAAGAAAGGCCTGGTGATTTACTTCTGAAAAACTAGCCATTGAAAACCCTGTGGAGCACAGTTCTGCTCTGACACACATGGGGTTGCCATTAGTCGGGGTCGACGTGATGGCAGCTGGTTTTTTGGTTTGGCAGGGAGCTGGAACTAGAGAGGTAGGCAGCCCCAGGGGTTGGAGATAGCACTTGTAGACTGCTGGCCACGGGATGGGGTTTGAGTATTTGGAATGATGGTGATGGAAGAAAGGTGGGGAGAGGACAGTGGATGGAGGGGACAGTTACAGCTCCTCCACTTGACATCTTCCTGGGGTGATACAAGGCCAAGGCAAGGCCAAGGGGGACAGAGCCCACCAGAACCATTTCCAAAGGGTGGTGCAGCCTGCCCGCAGGCGCAGGTGCACTCTCAGGCCCAGGAAAGAATAGCCACATGGAGCCTCTCTATTTCCTGGGGCTGACTGGGGGCGTACGATTACAGTTACTAGAAAACTATTGCATGTGTCCCCATCTGATGCTATCCTGGGGTGGGGGATGGCCTCTGAAGCAGTCACGGCTGGCCGAGGGGGGTGCCGTGTGGGCACCGCTGCTGTTTGTAACCTGCCGATGGAGTTGAAGGCAGGCTGGTTGTCAGGGGTGGAAGTGAACTGGAGCTGTCAGGGGGTGGTGCGGAGTGCGGGGCTGACAGGGCTATGATTTTGAAAGGAACATCTTTGAGAGAGTGATTTAAAGTGGGTGCGGAGTGTTATTATCAGATCACAGCTGTCAGGTTACTTTTGATGTATTCTCAGGGTATTTCATAACCACCTCTCCCTTAGATGGGAAGGCCTTCCTGGCCAGGGGCCATGTCCTGGGACTCTGCTGTTCACTTGTGGGCCGAGCAAACAATGGGCATCAGGAGGTATTTGCTGTTTGTGGGGAGGTTTTGTAAATAATCTGCTTGACTTTGCTAGCAAGCCATCAGCCAGGATGAGCACTGGGGCCTTTAGTCTGATGGCTGCAGCGGGGGCCACCCACACAGCACCAGGCCAGAGTGGGCCCCATCTCAGGAGTATCAGCCAGACAGTGAGGTCCCTGAGACTTATAATCCTAGCGGGGAATAGCCACAGGATGCTCCACCCAGTGTCTCCTAAGCTGCATATTCCTCATCCTCCACAGCCCGTCCTGTCCCCCACCCTGCCCTTCTCCTAGACTCAGCATAGCCCTCTGAGGCTGGTTCTTACATATTTTTTGGAATCAATTCCCCCTTCTGTGTTGACTGCTGGGACTTGAATTCCTGTCCTAATCTCAGCACCTCAAAACGCCAGCCTCTCTTCTGGCTGCCTTCCCTCCTGCTGCCCCTCTGCTGCTCTTCCCCATGCTACCTCCCTAGAGAGTCCAGGCTTGTCAGTGTGGTGTCTACCACATGCCCACCCCCGCCACATTGGCCCTTGCCCTGACCTGCTGCAGCTCCCACTTCCTCACCACCTGATGAGGGGCTACACGGGGAGGAAGGAGAGGGTGGTTTTTTAAACACGGCAGGCCTCATCAAAACCACCTCCCTTCTTCTCTCCTGCCCACTTTAGGAAACTTAGCCTGCCCAGCGTAGCACTGGACACTGCCTCTGCAGGGGACTTTGAACTGCAGGGGTACGCCTTTGAGGCAGCTGGAGAGCAGCTGAGACAGCCCCGCACGGTGCGCGTGGGGCTGGTGCAGAACAGGACCCCCCTCCCCACGGATGCTCCAGTGGCCGAGCAGGTATGCCTTAAATACGTGAGCATGGATATGGCCTTGCTCTTTGTCATGAACCCATCCATGATCCCTGGCTGGCTGCCCCCTACCACAGGCAGCAACACGGCACCCACGGTGATCGCAGGGATGGCTTCTGCCCTGGCTGGCCTGCCCTCTGGCCTGCGTCTCGCCTCCTCTTGTCGTCTGGTTCTTACACCTTTGCCTTCCCCTCATTCCTCACTGTCTTCCCCTCGGCTCCTGTCCCGATATTGATCTGAAGTTCCATTTACCAGCTGGGGGTGGGGTGCCCTTTTGGCAGCTGGTGCTCTGTCCACAGGACTCTGCCTCAGTCTCCTGCCAGCCTGCACCGGGTCATACGTGTCCTGGTTGAGCCTAAGGGCAGGGACACACTCTACCTAAAGCCGTCAGCTGACGGCACCTGCTGGGCTGTGGGGGTATGACAGGCATCCCCGTGACCTTACAGGTAGTGTACAAATGTAACAGACACTATCTTGTATTTCCCTAAGGAAACGTTGTCACAGATGCAGGTGGTTTGTTTTATACACTTTTCACAGTGCTCCTCCAGCTGCTTAAACCTTCAGGGCTTTCTCTTCAAAGGGCTTCTCAGATGCATTGTGCTAGAGAATTCTTAGGGATCCCGAGAAATGGAAGGTCTGTTGGTCCTCATTTGCTTTTATTGAATTAAAAGGTTTCTGGCTCCTGGGTGGTGCAAACAGTTTGCACTCAACTTGGCGGTTCAAACCCACCCAGTGGCGCCACGAAAGACAGGCCTGGCAATCTGCTTCTGTTAAAATGACAACCAAGAAAACCCTGTGGACTTCTTAAAACCAAACAGCTTAACTAGTGAAGAATGGCTACCTTGAGCATTGTGCTCTTTTAAGAACTATCTATATGGGATCAAACTGACAACAGCGATTCAAAAGATTAGATAGGAACCTTAGGGGGCAGTGAGTTTACGGTAATGGGGGAGGAACAACTTGGAAAAGGAGGGTGAGAATGGTTACACAACTTGAAGACTGCAATCAGTGTCACTGAATTGTACATGTAGGAATTGTTAAATTGGTGTATGTTCTGCTGTGTATATTCTCAGCAACAACAACAAAAATAAAGTAAATTATTTAAAAAACAAAAAACAACCCTATGGAACAATTCTACTGTGTAACACATGGGGTTGCCATGAGTCGGAATTGACTCAGTGCCGGTGGGTTTGGTTTGGGTTTTTTTGGCTCTCAGTCCACTTTTTGATTTTGGATCAGCTGTTCGTGAATACATCTGGAAAAGTAGAGGGTTAGCAAAAATGACGGAAACCCTGCATGAGATGGACTGACAACCGTGGATTCACACATACCAAGGATTGTGAAGATGGCGCAGGATCAGGCAGCGTTTTATTCTGTTGTACGTGAGGTCGCCATGGGTTAGAGCTGACTTGATGGCAGCTGACAACCACAAGCACCCCAGATTGTCAGGGGTTAGGGGCAGGATGTTGTTCTCGCCCCAACAGCACCTAGAAGCATGCTTTGCACCAGGAGCACTGAGCAGATGTGTGTGTACTTTTGTGGCTGGCTCAGTCCACAGAACCTGGGAGCCCTCACATGGACAGCCACACCGGGAGAGAGTCAGAGTATAGAAGAGTTTGTGCTCTGAATTCTCAGCCTGGTTCCTTTGGTTGTTCTTTGAACAAACATTTCTAAACGTCTCCTGGGAGCCAGGCAGTATGATGGGGACACAGAAAAGATCAGAACACTTTCTTCTGCCCCAGAGGAGCTTGTGGGATCATGGGAGTGGCAGGCAGGGGACAGACGGTGACAGCATCATGGGACAGTGCTGCTGTACAGACGCAAAGGACTGGGAGCACCAGTCATCCTGAGACTCAGCCTGCTGTGGGAGAGCTGGGAGGGTAGGTGGTGTGGTCGGTAAGGACTGGAGTCGAAGGCAGGGTGGGGGAAGAGGGGACACATTCCTGCAGAGGACACAGCACACACTAAGCACTTGGGAGAATAGAAGCAGCAGGACAAGGGTGCCTGAAGCCATACATGGAGAAGCAGGGCCGTGGAGAGGGCTGCATCTGGGGCAGAGGGAGGGCTAGCCAAGGTCATGAGCGTGGTGTGCGGTGGCCCCGCTATGTGTGGACCCTGCTTGCTGTAAGCGACACGTGTCCTCTCTTCCATACCTCTCAGCAACCCCGAGTGGCGTTCTCCCAGTTTTGCAGGTGAGGACACTGAGGCTCACAAAGACCGCTAGGCAGCATCCAAGTGCCTGCCTCTTTTTACAGATTTTTGTCCTGATGAGAGACTTAAGTATCAGAACCTCCCACCCTACTTACCATCATGCACCTGGTCAGGGGGTTGGACGTTCCAGGTGTGTTCTACGAGCAACTAAAAATGGTCATACTTACTGGGAAAGCCAGCACAACTTGTACAAGGAAAGGTTATGGAAGCTCTATAGACACATCCAAACTCCCTGTAGGACTGAATTGCTAGGCGGAGGGCTATGGGGACTATGGTCTTGGGGAGCATCTAACTCAATTGGCATAACACAGTTTATAAAGAAAATGTTCTACATTCTACTTTGGTGAGTAGCATCTGGGGTCTTAAAAGACCATGAGCAGCCATCTAAGATACTCCAATGGTCTCACCCCTTCAGCAGCGACAGAAATGAAGAAAACAAGATACAAGGAAAAGGTTAGTCCAAAGGACTAATGGACCACAACTACCATGACCTCCACCAGACTGAGGCCAGTACAACTAGATGGTGCCCGGCTACCACCACTGACTGCTCTGACCAGGATCACAACAGAGGATCCCAGACAGGGCTGGAGAAAAAATGTAAAATGAAATTCTAACTCACAGAAAAAGACCAGACTTACTGGCCTGACAGAGAGTGGAGAAACCCTGAGAGTATGGCCCCCAGACACTATTTTAGGTCAGTAATGAAGTCACTCCGGAGGTTCACCATTCAGCCAAAGATTATATAGCTCCATAGAACAAAATGAGACTAATGGGGCACAACCGTCCAGGGACAAGGACTAGAAGGTAGGAGGGGACAGGAAAGCTGGTAATAGGGAATCCAAGATTGAGAAGGGACAGTGTTGACATGTTGTGGGGTTGTTAACCATTATCATAAAACAGTATGTGTACTAACTGTTAAATGAGAAACTGTTTGTTCTGTAAACGTTCATCTCAAGTACAATAAAATAAATAAGTAAAAATAAAAATGGTCTTACCAGTAGAATTAAACTGGGTTTCATCCTCACTTTCCCTTGTCAGGTCTCCGCTGTTCACAGACGCGTCGAGGCCATCGCAGAGGTGGCAGCCATGTGTGGGGTCAACATCATCTGTTTCCAGGAAGCTTGGAGTAAGTCTTTTGTGATGCTGCTTTCTCTTCTATCTTCAAACAATAGTGTATTATCTCCACATTGTCAAGAGTGTCTGCTATTGATTTTTATAAACTTTTTTTTTTCTTTTCTCATCCCTAAAAATGTTCTTTGTCAATAACACCAGGAGCCTAGGCAGCCCTCAGATGCACCCTAGTCTGTGGTCTGGTCCTACCATTTCTGCCTGCTAAATGGTCTGAGTCCACTCATTCCTCCCCATCTCTCCAGCACTGCCCTGGACCAGACCACCATCAGCTTCCTCTCAGCTTTTGTGATTGCCTTGTCTTGTTGGGATTTTATTTTAAATAAGTATAGAAATGCTTAGGCTTGTCATAATAAACTCGTTTAGTTTTTTGCAAGGTTGTCATGGCATGGAACACAGGCAAGACTCCAGGACATTCATGTAGACCTAGAGAATGGGGGCAGGGTAAAGGTAGTCCAAGAATTAAATCCAAATATTCAGCCTTCAGGTGTTTACCTTTAACAAGTAGTCTTGGGAGGAAGGTTTGACCAGCAGCTTGTCCTCAGTGGCAGTCCTTTGTAGCTGAGGTCTGAGGTCATTGGCAGTGGGCAGAGTCTGGCAGTGTCTTAGTCTTCAGAGAGGGTCAGAGTCTCAATGGACAGAGTCGTTCTACCTCTGCCTTTTGTTGGAAGAGCAAATCCCGGGTTTTTTCTGGGGTTCAGTCCCTCTGGTCTGGTATAGGGGAAGTCCAGCTCACACTGCATCTGGGTGACTCACATCACAGGTTCATGATCAGGGGTGCACATTGGGGTATGTAACATGATAAACTAAGGGCTATGCCACATCATACCACAGCCAAGCAGGTGTCTACAAGGTAGCTAAATATAATATTAAAAATTATGACAGAAAAGGTGTTTGTCAGTTTTAGATTGTTTATAGCTTAGCTTAAATGCTCAAGTCACACATTACCTGTTTCACACATATGTAATTTGGGATCATACTACATTATAAGCATACATTACTTGCCTCCAACTGGTCCCTGCTAATTTGCTCTCCACACCTTACAGGAATGATCGCTGCTGCCGTCTGTGCCTCCCCACCTCTGCAGCCTCATCTCTGCTGGGCTCCGCTACAGCACCTGCTGTCCCCTCTGCCTGCAATACTGTCCCCTCCCATAGCCTTGTTAAACTCTGCTCAACCCTCAGGTCTCCACTGAGAACCACTTCCCTAGCTAAAGTTGAGTCCCCTCTTATATACACTCCTGGCACCATCTACCTTTATTTTATTTTTAAAATTTTTATCAGTTATACATGCTCATGTTTAGAGTCAAATGAGTCTACAAAGTCTGTTACAAAAGAATATATGTATCCTCCTCCCCAGAGGCAACTGCTCCCAACTCTTAGCTGATTCTTTGGATTTCCCTTTGAAGTGCAGCTACTTCTTTTCCACTTTGCATCATCTATGGACGCCTTAGTATGGAAGAAGATAGTACTTGTCCTTCCCTCCTCCTACCCCTTCCACACATATGGACCCTTCCTGTTCCATCCCCCTTCTGTTCTCTGCCAAGCCGTTGTGTAAGCTTTGATTTCTTTTCCTGAATAACTCTTCTTTTTCGTCGAGTTGGCTTTGTTTTCTGCATACTTGCCACAAAGTCAATTCCAAACTTTCTGCCGGTTTCCTAAGTTCCGTTAAACAGTCTGTCAGTTTCATCATCTTGAAGGAATCTGTCCTGAGCCCTCTGATTGCTCTGGTCTGAATGAGTTGCCCCTTCTGCTGGCTGCACAGCTGTCATCCTGGGATTTTCTTTAACCATCATCTTGGGGAGTCTGCCTGCCTCACTCTTGAGTTTCTTCTATCCCACATCTTCTTCTTTCTTGGTTTACTCCTTCATTTTGGTAGAGTAGTTCCTTAAGAAGGAATATGTGGGAGTAAATTTCTTGAGACTTTGCATGTCTGAAAATAAGTTCCTTCTCACAGTTGTTTGATAATTTGGTTGGGTATAGAATTCTAGATTAGAAATAATTTTCCTTCAGAAGTTTGACATTTTGCTCCATTGTCTTCTAGCTCTGGATATTGTTGAGCAGTCCTAAGCCATTTTGATATCTGATGCATTGTATATTACCTATTTTATGCTTTTCTGGAAGATTCTAGGGTCTTCTTTTTCTCTAATACTCTGAAATTTCATAATGATGTACTGTGTGTGTATCTATTTTAATTCATTCTGCTGGATATTCAGTGGGTTCTTTCAGTCTAGAAACTTGGGTCCTTTCTTGTATTGTTTCATTAGTGATTTTCTCCCCTAAATTTTCTCTCTTTTCTTCATGTTATTCCGATTATTAGAATGTTGGAACCCTGGACTAGTTCCCTAATTTTCTTAAGTATTCTGTCTTATTTTTTTCTCTGTTTTTACCCATTTTTATAGTAGATTTCATCTAATTTGTCATTTAGTCCTTCTATTAAATCTGTCATTTCTGCTATCATATTTTTATTTTACAAGAGTTCCTTTTGGTGTTCTGAACATTCCTGTTCTGTCACATCTTGTTCTAGTATCATGGTTGCAATATCTTCTCTTTTCTCTGAGGATAATTAATATTACATATTTTTTTTCTCCCTACATAGTCCTTACTTCGAATTGGTCTTTTTTTTTTTTTTTTTTTCCTAGTTGTCTGCTTATATTTTAATAACTGGAAATTAAAGAGATGATTGCAAGCTCTGAGTGTGTGAAGGGCCTCATCCCCTGAGATTTCTTACTGGATGGTCTGGTGCAGCTGTTTGTTAGGTAATCTGTGTTGCTGGTATCTTCAGGTCATTGTTTTCAGGCTGCTCAGGTTCCCAGTGAAGAGTCTTCTAATCTCCTGCCAAGAAGGAAGAGGACCGGGCCCCAGCATGCTGATGTTTACACAGTCCTTCTTTCTTGACACATTCCCTCTTCGTCTGTCCAGGCTTTTCCAAGGACAGAGACCCTCTGTTGAATCTCTCTGGAGAATGATCCGCTAGCCTTCCCTGGGGAGAAGAGCCAAGTCTCTATTCCTAGAGTGGGGGAAGGGTCTGGGCATCAAACTGCTTGATCAGACTCAACCAGTCCTTCTTGTTTAACACCCTCCTCCACTTCCCCACCTTCAGGCGTACACAGGGCTTCTGCTGCCTGAACTCTCGAGGGGTCTGTGGTGGCCTTCTCAGCTGCTGGGTGCTCAGTGCTCAGATTGGCTGAGATACATGCCTGCATAGCTCTGCTTTCCAACTTTCATATTTGTTGCTGGTCTCCTCTCTCAACACCCCATCCTTGTTTATACCTTTACATAAAAATCCCTTTACATTCAGCAATGTTATGTCCAATCTGCTGTCTGCCGTCTTACACAGACGTCCGTGTCATTTTTCATGTTTCTTGTTAGAATTGCATTTCCACTCTTGTTTGCCTGACTCTTGATTTGTTTACCTCCTCAGTGCCTGCATTTTTTTTTTTTTTTTTTTAATCTGTCTTTCCTATCTCTCTCCCCACCCATTTTATCATTAGTGACAACAATCTCTGATCTGTGGCAGGCACTACAAAATATTTACTAGATTGTTCAACCAACTTCTTCCCTTTCTTGGGCCTGGAAAACTCCTGCTCATCAGAACAGATGAGCATTTGCCCCTCCTTTGTGGGGCCCTAAGGACTCCCCCACATGCAGCCACACTGGGTTATAATTCATCCCCTTCCCTCTACGGCAGGGCCATTCTGAGTCTGGACACTTACTCCCCTCTTTCTTAAAAACGCCACTGTGGTTGGGACTCTGCAGCCAGTCTCACTGAGTCCCAGCCCACAGCCTTCTTTTGCAAGTTTGTTTACATTAGAGCACTTGTGTAAACAGGAAGAGAAGATGTTAAAAGGGAGATGGAGAAATTTGGATCGAAATGGAGAAATCAGAGGTTTTATTCCCTTGGGGCACTTGAGTCTCTGCTAACTTCTGAAAGCTGAGAATTGATGGTCATTAAGAGATATTTTTGTTATCAACAGCTTTTTTTTTTTGGCCTCCTTAAAATAGTTAATCCCTCTTCCCACAGGTGAGCCAGGGGCATCCTGAGCCAGGCCCCCAGGCTGTTGCTGGCAGCAACTGCTGTCCACTTACCTGTGTGTGTGTTGGGACAGGAGGGGCAGTGGAGGTGATGCAATTGGTGGCACCTTCTTCCTGGCACGATTTTAAGAGCAGGTGCCCTGAGGTTGGAAGAAAGTGGAGGCTGAGGCTTCTCTTCCTTCTTTGTGAAATGAGGCCAGTCATACCTGCTTCACTGGGTTGTCACGGGACATGCTGCTCATTACCAGGCTTGTCATGGTGCCTGGCATGAGGGGGGCATTAGGGAAATGGGGGCCACTTTTATTACCACCTGGAGTCCCTGGGTGGTGCAAATGGTGAACATGCTCAACTGCTAACCAAAAGGTTTGAGGTTCAAGTCCATCCAGAGGCACCTCCAAAGAAACGCCTGGCAATCTATTTCTGAAAAATCAGCCATTGAAAACCGCATGGTGATAGCGTTAATGGTTACACAACGTGAAGACTGTAATCAGTGTCACTGAATTATACATGGATAAATTGTTGAATTGGTAAATGTTTTGTTGTGTTTATTTTCACCACAATAAAAAAAAAAGTTAAAAGAAAACCCTGTGGAGCACAGTTCTACTCTGGTGCACATGGGGTCACCGTAAGTCAGAATCAACTTGATAGCAACTGGTTTTTTATTACCCCAAACAGGCCACACCTCATGCCACGGCCAGTTGAAGCAGCGCCCCATCCCATCATGGTGTTTCCTATGAGCCTTAGCGCAAGTTACTTGGTCAGAGCATGGAACATGGATGCTCTTGCTGGGCCGCCAGCAGGTGTACCCCTGAAAGAAATGGCTTTGGGTTATTGTGAGTGGGAGATCCAGAGTATCCTGCATTGGTCAAGACAAGGAATTGAGTAGTCCAAAGGAAGAGGAAAAGACAGGCAGCCCAGTAGTAAATGGCCAAGGATGTGACTGAGAATGCCTAGTTCTACTAGTCCTGTAGACAATCCAGAATGGCCAGTGGACAGGTGGCAAGGGGCTCACCTCACTAGTAATAAGGGAAGCGATGAGATGCCAGCTCACACCATCAGATATTACATTAAATATCTACAGAATTAAAGATATTCAAGAGTTGACATGTTGCAGATAATTCCAAGCGTGACTGAGACCCTGGAGCAACATTACTCACAGACCAGGGTCCCTGGTACCCTTCCCTCCCCCAATGCACCCCCTCCCCTCCCTGCCCCTGCGCTTTGAACCTGGCATGAGTGGGGGTGACAAACATGTCTGTATTGTCACTATGTATGTGTGTCTCCATTGTTTGATAAAAAGCAAACAAAAATCAGTTTAATGGTATGTATTTGTACTGTTTTTACATAGTACCTATTTCTACTATTTTACTGTTTCTCTACTGAGAAATGGCAGACATGCTCATATATATCATCTCATTTAATCGTTTTGACAACCACGTGGACTAGTTATTCCAGAAACGCAAGTGTCGGTGTTTATTCTCATAGCTAATAAGTAGTGGTAAATACGTACTGTGACTTCTGATTCCATGGGTTTCTTCTCACTATATCTCAATAGAGAGCATTTTTATTTGCAATACAGAGAATATTTTTGTTTTGTTGGCATAAATAGAGTCCTGAGCAGTTTTCTTTTTTTTTAATGATACTGTGTTTTCGGTGAAGGTTTCCACAGCAGTTTAGTTTCCCGTTCAACAATTTCTAGACAAATTGTTCGGTGACGTTGGTCACATTCTTTACAATGCGTGAACATTCTCATTTCCATTCTGGTTGTTCTGTTTTCATTAGTCTGGGTATTTAATCTGTTATTTAGCTAAAAAGTGACCTCGGGCTTGTTTTGGTTCAAAGTTTAAAGAGTATCTCAGGGCAGTAAAAGTCTTGAGGAGCCCTCCAGTTTCAAAGTATGGATTTTTTAAAGAATTTGAGGTTCTGTCCTACATGTTTCTCCCATTCTATGGGAATCCATCTGTGGCGGCCCTGATCAGAACGGTAGGTAGTGGTAGCTGGGCACCGTCTAGTTCTTCTGGTCTCAGGATAGGTGAGGCCGTGGTTCATATAGACTAGTCCTGTAGACTAGTTTTTTCTTCGAATATTTGGTTTCCTTCTTTCTCTTTTGTTCTGGACAAGAGAGACCAATAGTTGTATTTTAGATGGCCATTTGCAAGCGTTTAAGACCCCAGAGACTACTCACCAAATTAGGATATAGAACACAAACTATATTATGCCAGCTGACTGAGATGTCCCGTGAGACTATGGTCCTAAGCCTTCAAACTCAGAAAATCAATCTTGTGAGGTGTTTTGTTATGTCTAAGAAGTACCCGTAACTGTGCCCCCATGTGGTTTGTTATATACGTGAATATATATGCACGCACCCACATATATACATATACAAATGCATACGCTTATATAAACGTACATATATAGCCACATATGTATACATACCTGTAACATATATGTCTGCATACGTAGATATATACCCACACATATATTTTTTGGTTGTTGTTGCAAAGTTATATATGCTATAGCAATTACCAAAAGATCCCTTTTGCTTGTGTACATCTTAGTGACATCATTTACCTTTGTCAAGCTATGTACACTTCACCCTCATTCAATGTTACCTTTCCCATCAGCAAAAATAGTGTCTACTGTCTAGAGAGTGAATCCCCCTCCCCCTCACCCATCCATCCCTGGCAAGCACTAATGAACATAAGTTTCTGTATATTTACCTATTTATGTCATTTCATAAAAATGGGAATACACAATATTTGTTTTTTTGTGATTGGATTATTTCACTCAATATAATGTCTTCCAGGTTCATCCACGTTATAAGACCCTGAACAATTTTCTTAACATAATTAAAATTACTGTGGGTCAAAAAATAAAAAAATCAGTGTTTTTAATGATGTTTCTTACTGAATGAGCCCCTGGTGGTATCTAGTCAAGTGTTGTTAGCTGCCGTTGAGTCGGCCCCCCAGCTCATGGCAACCCCATGTGTTACAGAGTGGAACTGCTCTATAGGGTTTCTTTGGGTGAAATCTTTAGCAAAAGGAGTCCTGGTGGCGTAGTGGTTAAGCGCTCTCCTGCTAACTGAAAGGTCAGTAGTTTGAACCCACCAGCCACTCTGTGAGAGAAAGGTGTGGCAGTCTGCTTCTGTAAAAATTTACAGCCTTAGAAGCCCTATTGGGCAGTTCTGCTCTGTTCTGTAGGGTTGCTATGGGTCAGAATTGACTCGATGGCAATGGGTTTGGTTTGGTTTTAATCTTTAGGGAAACAGATTGCCAGGCTTTTCTTCCGCAGTGCCACTAAGTTAGAACCACCAGCCTTTGAGTTAGCAGCCAATCACAAACTGCTCATGCCACCCAGGCTCCTCGGAAGAATGCATTTATCCTTGGAGGTGCACGTCCTGTCTAGTGGTACCCAAACTTGGCGTAGGATCATTAGTGGGTGGCTTTCTCACTCCTGAAGAAGCCCCCCTGTCCCTGGGAGGAGGCAGCCCTGATGGTGAAGTGCCGAGGGGCCCACCACCATCCTCAGTGGCCACTGATACTTTTCCCAAGGCATCCTGGCTGGCTGAGCTCTTACCACCTTGCAGCTGGGGCTTTGCCGTCTGGGAACCACTTTTTGCTGTAGCATTTGCAGTTGCTTTTTTAAGATTGTAGGAAGGACATTTGTCCCAGTCCCTGGTTCTACCATGAAGCCCAGAAGAGTAGGGCCTGCCCAGTGCGCTTCGCCAGGTTCAGGTCTGGGAAGCCAGGCCCCAGCATTCCTGAGGTCTTGTCCTTCTGTGGTAATCCCTCCCCCCTACTGCCAGGCTGAGGAGCGCCCCCTCAGAGCCGTGAACACTGGGTGTTATTTATGATTCTGCCTTTTTTCTGATTCCAGCTATGCCCTTTGCTTTCTGTACAAGAGAGAAGCTTCCATGGACAGAATTTGCTGAGTCAGTGGAGGACGGGCTCACCACCAGATTCTGTCAGAAGGTAGAACATTAACTGAATGTCAACGTCTCCTCCAAAATCAGCTGCCAAATACGAGCAGGTCGCAGACCATGGCCACAGCTGTCAGGTGTGGCTGTCCACCAAGAACAACATACCAGCCTGGTGCTTGTTTCACACATAAGACTATTTGCCACCTTTTTTTTAGTGTCCTTTCACTTATATCATGGGGTTTCAGAGCCGGAAGGGTCCTTAGTGGCTTTTTCAGGTGAGGGACCTGAAGCCCAAATTGGGTAGCCGGGGATGACACCCATAGGTTCTGCAGCCAGTGAGTGGTAAAGCTGCCACCTGGGAACTGAAGACTTCTAATTCTGTGTCCAAAGCTTTGCTCGCCCCTTTTGCCATTTGCTTGAGCTATGTAAGCTTCACTGAGTGGCCTGTCTCATCAGGGCAGAAATTGGTTTTGATTTTTCTTTGTTAAAAGCTCCTAACATGTCACATGCTCCCATTTATGTTAAGTGTCCAGAATAGGCAAATCCAAAGAGAAAGTAGATTAGTGGTTGCCTAGGACATGGGGGAGTGACTGCTAGGATTTCTTTTTGGGGTGATAAAAATGTTCTAAAATTAAATGTTGATGGTTGTGCAACTCTGAATATTCTAAAAACCACTGAATTGTGCACTTTCAAAGAATAAATTTTATGGTATGTGAATTTGGTGGCATAGTAGTTAAGAGCTACAGCTAGGTCAGCAGTTCGAATCCACCAGCCACTCCTTGGAAACCCTATGGGACAGTTCTTCTCTGTCCTATAGGGTCACTATGAGTCAGAATCAATTTGACAGCAACAGGTTTTTTTTCCTAGGTGGTACAGATGGTTAAGTGCTCAACTACTAGCTGAAAGGTTGGCAGTTCGAACCCACCAAGGGGCACCTCGGAAGACAGGCCACCTGGCAATCTGCTTCCAAAAGGTCACAACCTTCAAAGCCCTATGGAGCACAGTTCTACTCTGCACACATGGGGTCTCCCATGAGTCAGAATCGACTCAATGACAACTAGCAACAATAACAGCAAAACTCTTATTAAGAAGCTCATAACAAAGAGATCATGAACGGTAATTTATCCTTATTCTCACCTCTGAGGAAAGAACCTTTTCATTCCTCTGTGTCCCCTTTTCAGATTTTATACATGTATTTAGGGTTTTTTAAGCAGAGCTGTACTGTACTTTTACGCAAATAACTCATGCGTTACACGTTTTTTTGCCAACCGTGCTATGCCAGAACTGTTTTAATTTCATCATTTCTGCATGTGATATGTGTGGGCATGTTATTTACGTGGGTGCATTATTTGTGAAAAGTATAGTGATTGTTGTGATTCTAATCGAGATGGAGTTGTGCTTCCAAACATCAGTGTTCTTGGGCTGTAGGAAAGCAAACTCTCCTTCACCAGGTTGTTAGTTCTGTGCTGCGGAAATAAAGGGGACTGGTTAGGCAAACATTGCAGATGATGAGCCTGAAGCAGGGTGGGAGAATGGAATAGGAAGGGTGGGAATGGGGACTAGTGCCAAAGGGACACCTGTCTGCACAGAGAGGGGCCTGGGGACTGGAGGTTGCATTCACACAGCTCCTAACATCGCCTTCTGCCCGGATGTGCCTTTTCCTACCATTAAGGCCAAAGTTGATGAAAAGCTAATTAGCGTGGAGGACGAATGACTAGCTGGGGCTCCTAATCCTGACGGCCACAACATCCTGATGTTATTATTTGAGATTAAAAAGGAATTCAGTGCCAAAGGGCTTTTTTTTTTGTTTGTTTGTTTTTTGAGGAGGGAGGTAATGGATAAGCAAAAATGTCCTTGGGTGGTGTAAGTGGTTTTCATTCAGCTCCTAAACTACAGGTTGGCATTTTGAACCCACCCAGTGCTATCATGGAAGAAGGGCCTGGCAGTCTGCTTATGTAAAGATTACAGCCAAGAAAACCCTGTGTAACAGTTCTACTCTGTCATATGGGGTCACCATGAGTCAGAATCAACTCGACAGTGACAGGTTATGGATTTGAGTTCGAGTCTTACTCAGCTAAGTGTGGGTATTAGGATGTCCCTGGCATTTCATCTTTCAAAAAACAAATTCAAACGACAGCTCTGCGCTGAGCTCAGTCAGGTAGCAGAACAATGGAATTCTTCCCTGAGAAAAACATGACAGTAGATTTGAACGGAGGGCTCTGCTGTCTCCACTGCCTTTCCAGCTGGCTGAGAAACACGACATGGTGGTGGTCTCGCCCATCCTGGAGCGAGACTTCATGCACGGGGACGTCTTGTGGAACACAGCCGTGGTGGTCTCCAACTCAGGCGCCGTCTTGGGGAAGACAAGGAAGAACCACATCCCCAGAGTGGGTGACTTCAACGAGGTGAGTGTCTAGCCATCTGATGGCCAGTCCACTCGGTTTGTGGGCCTCTCTGTGAAGGGAATCTGTGTGGAACCTGTTAGATTATACAACACTGAAACAGCAAGGCGGCCGCACTCGGTGTGTCCCTGTGCCACCCAGGCACTCTTGGAGTCTCACACCTCTAGCACACAGGGTTATTTTTATTGTTTTTAAAATATAATCTGATTTGGCTTTGTGAAAATCTTTGAAGTACCAGTTAACCAATTGCTGTCAAGTTGATTCTGATTCATGATGCCCTTGTGTGTGTCACAGTAGAACTGTGTTCCATAGGGTTTTCAGTGGCTGGTTTTTTGGATGTAGATCACCAGGCCTTTCTTCCAAGGCACCTCTGGGTGGACTCAAACCTACAACCTTTTGGTTAGCAGCTAAGCATGTTAACCGTTTACACCACCCAGGGACTCCTAGCCAGTTGCCATTGAGTCTGTTCCAACTCACGGCGACTCCATGTGTGTCTGGGTAGAATTGTACTTCATTGGGTTTTCTTTTTTTTTTTTTTTTTATTGTGCTTTAGATGAAGAACAAACAAGTTTCTCATTAAACAATTAATAAACATATTGTTTTGTGACGTTGGTTGCCAACCCCATGATGTGTCAACATTCTCCCCTTCTCAACCTTGGCTTCCCCATTACCAGCTTTCCTGTCCTCTCCTGCCTTCTCACCCTTGCCACTGGGCTCGTGTGCCCATTTAGTCTCATTTTGTTTTATGAGCCTATCTAACCTTTGGCTGACAGGTGAACCTCAGGGGTGACTTCATTAATGAGCAATAAGGGTGTCTGGGGGCCATACTCTCAGGGTTTCTCCAGTCTCTATCAGACCAGTAAGTCTGGTCTCTTTTTTTTTTTTTT